GGGGGGGACCCTGCACCACCCCCTTCCCTGTGCGCCCCCGAGCGGGCTGGGGGGCGATTCCCTCCCTGGATCCCAGGAGGCCCGACTCACCAGCGCGGGGGGGCGATTTTCCCCACCCCAGGGGAGCCCGATCCGGCCCCGGGGGCCCAGGGACCCTGCCGCCGAGCCCAGGGGCTGGGGCGAAGGGGCGGGCTCGAGGATCTGGGAACAGGAAGGTCCCTTTGCTCTCCTGTCCCCTCGTCCTTCCTGGCCGAGAAGCCCAGGAGGTGGAGCCGTCTCCTTTGAACGCATTCGCTGCAGCAGCTGTGAGCTGCGGCCCACCACGTGGTGGCAGCAGTGGGATATGTCGGGCCATAAGAGGCCCTGGGTCCCATTCCCCTGAGCCAGCCAGTCCCCAGCCCTGGGGCAGGATCGGACCCAGCGCCCCCTAGCGGGGAAAGACCGCTTGTCCCATTCCCCACCCCTCTGAGCCGGCCACTCCCCTGCCCAGAGATATGCCTTCGAGCAGGGTCACGAGCAAAGTGATGTGTGGCCAGGAAATAGTCCCAGAGGTCTCGGGGCAGTGGAGACGGAATTCAGTTTTTGTATTAGGTGTATTACGGTAGTATCTAGAGCCCCCAGCTGAGATCGGGCCCCCGGTGTGCCAGGTGCTGCCCAGAACGCAGCTGAGAGCAGGGTCCTCCTGGTCGTGCCGGGTGCAGACTGATAGCAGGGCCCCCCTTGTGCCAGATGCTGCACAGACACAGGGAGAGACAGGCCCCGTTTTTCAGATGGGGAAACTAAGGCACAAAGGAAAGCAATGACTTACCCAAAGTCACACAGGGCATCTCTGGAAGAGCTGGGGCTAGAACCCACAAGTCCTGGCTCCCAGGCCCCACTTCTCTAACCCACTAGACCCCACTCCCCTCCCAGAGCTGGGAAGAGAACCCAGGAGTCCTGGCTCCCAGCCCCCTCTGCTCTAACCCACTAGACCCCACTCCTCTCCCAGAGCTGGCGGTAGAACCCAGGAGTCCCAGCTCCATGCTTCCATGTCCCCCCCTTGGGTCCGAGGCATCCCCAATCCTGGAATTACTAAGGCTGTGTCTACACTAAAGACCTTACAGGGCACAGCTCTACCAACGCAGCTGCATCGGTGCAAGATCGCTCATGTAGCCGCTCTATGCCGACGGGAGCAAGCTCTCCTGCCAACAGAGCGCTGGGCACACTACTACTGATGCCAGTGAAACTTATGTCTCTCGGGGGATGGTTTTTGCACACTCCTGAGCGGCATACGTTTTGCCGACGGAAGTGGTAGCGTAGCCATGGCCCAATTGTCTTTCTAAGAAGTTCCACATTCCCCACTGAAGCTGGACTGTGCCTCTGCAGACAACGCCTCTGAGGCTGTTACCAGAGAGGAGGCTGGTAACCACCCCGCTCTTGAACTGGCTGCACCCTTTCCAGGATGAAAGAGTCTGGCGGCCTGTATTTGTAAAGCTCCCACACTTCCATTTTTCCCATCGGGATCTTGGGCGAGGGAAGAGCCCTGGAGTCAAGGAGGTGCCTTTTGATGGTCCCAAGGCATTTCCTTTCGGATCCGGCCAAGTTCAGCGTGGACCAGAGACTGAACAAGACAGACAACAGGCGACTAGGGAAAGAGATTTATTGTGTAGACAGACACCAACAGACGTACCTGGCAGCTCAAAGATTTTCGGTGCTGTGTTGCTTCTCAGTGGGAACTGGAAAGGGTAAGCAGAGACCAGTGTAGGGAGCCCACTGAAGTGGCGGCAAGGGGGTGGAGAAACATAGAATCCGGCCTGGTGTGACTTCAGAAGTTCCTTGGTCAGGATAATTCATAGCTCTACAGTAAATTGCTCTCCCTTTGGTCCCATCTCCGCAGAATCTGACTCCAGTGATCTAGATCCCCAGCTGGTGTCAATGAGCATAGATCTGTTTACTTCATTCCCACCAGCTGGGGATCTGGCCCCATTGACTCCAATGGAGCTACATCCAATTGACACCAGCTGGGGACATCACCCATTTGTGTCTCTCTCACACAGAGAGGAAAAACCCTCCCTCCAATGCCTTGACATCCCTCAGAACCTTTCCCCTTCTCCTCCAGCTCCCATGCCACATTATAATGATACTTTGCCTTTAGCTAGCACTTTCCATCCGTAGAGCTTGAAGCAGTCTACCAAAGTATCTCAGGATGATTAGCCCAATTTTTACAGAGAGAGACACTGAGGCACAGAGAGGGGCAGAGCCAGGAACAGAACCGAGGCATCCTGAGGCCCAGCACTCTATCCACTTGGCCAACCTGCCTCTTGGCTGGTGTGTATGTGCCACAGAGCCGATGGTGGCGACGCAGCCAGGCCCAGCCCCACTGGAAGGGAATCTGGATTGCCATCTCCGCCATCCCCATCAACAATCAAAAACCCCAAGAAATTCCCTCAGATCCCGAAAGGAGGTTTTGATGAACTAGGTTTGTTGCTGATTGGGGATTTCCCCATCCCAATCCTTGGTGGAATTAGTGTAATTGATTATGTGTGTCCTGGTGCCCCAGGTATGGCTCAGGACCCCAATGTGCAAGGTGCTGTACAAAGACAGAACCAAAAAAGTCTCTTCCCCAAAAGGATCTGAGCCAATTATCAGATGTCCACTGTCCATCTCCTGGGGGTATTTCCACCACGTGTTGTGGGTATCAAAGGTAGCCATTTGTCTCTGGTTCAGCTGTAACCCACAGGTCCATATGTGTCCCATTCTCACGCCACGTATGAGGCTGTTACAACGCCTCTTACAGATGCCAGGTCTTCAGTTTAGGCTGGAGAAGTTCATTCTCCGAGTCCAAGGGACTGCCCGAGATGGTGGACAACTTTGTTCTGCTCTGAAACGACGCTGCTGTCGCAAGTTGAGGAACGTTGACATTTTGGCTTGAAAACGACGTTGCTTTCAATCCCAAACTGACCGTTTTGTAAAAAATGTTTGGCAAAATATTGGAGCACCTCCGATTTGGGGCGTTTGTCCTCGTCTTTTATTGCAATATGTCAACATCATTTTCATTCGAAAAGCAATCATTTTTCAAAACTGTTTAGCGAAATATTTTTTGGGGGAAATTCTGATTTGGGGAGTTTTTCCTCGCTTTTTTATTGAAAAACGTCACTAGCAGTTTCATTCCCAAACCAGTCATTTTTCATTTTTTAAAAGAATGTTTTGTGAAATATTTTTTGGGGGGTGGGAAATTCTGATTTGGGGGAGTTTTTCCTCAGTTTCCCACCCCCCCCAAAATGTCAACACTATTTTCATTCTCCAACCAACAATTTCTCTCTCTTTTTTAAAGGTATTGCAAAACTGTTTTTGTTGTTAGAAAAAATGCAATGTGAGTATTTTTCTATTTCTGTTTTTTTGCCACTGATTGCAACAAATGAATGATGTCCAGGTATCTTTCCCCCTCCCCAGTTTTTCATTTCATTCGAAAATTGAACATTGTTCTTCTTCCAAAACCATTTCATTTTCTTTAAAAATTTTCCCAAACCTTTTTACTTTGTTTGTTTGTTTTTAATATTTTGGGGTTTTCCTCATTGTCTCATTCCAGAATTTCAAAGTTCTTCTAATTCCAACACGGCATCATATTTGTCTTTAAACTCTTTTACAAAACTTTTGGCAGGAAAAAAAATTTGATTTGGGGGGAATTTTCCTTTTTTAAACAAAAAAGCCACCTCCAAAACTTCATCATTTTCCTTTCCAAAGCAAATTTTTTTTGGATTATTTATGTGCAAATTTTTTAAAAGTTGGGGTTTTTTTTTGTATTTTTCCCCATCTTTTTCATTCAAAAATTTCAATCATTTTCAGCCCAAACAAATTTTTCTTTTTTTTCTTGTCACTGTTTTACAAAACCTTTTTCTGCATTCTTTCCTTGCACTTTTTCAATTCTTTCCCCCCCTTCTCATTTCCTTTTCCCCACTCTAACTTTTCTAAACTTCCTCTCACTTTGGAAAAACGACAGCGCCATCAAAAAGAGGAAAAATGAAATTCTTTGATTCTGCCAGTCTATAATTTCCCCAAACGTAGTGCTCTGTCTGTATGGGAAAGTGGTACCAGTTACCCCAGTAGAGTTATCCAGAATAACTCCCGGGAAGGCACTCTTATCCCAGTATAGGAGTAGACTTTTCCATTTAGCTTAAACTTCTTCCCAAATGCCATAAACTAAACCCAGATCAGTTCTCTTATACCCGAATAGAAAGAGTTAGCACCTGGATCTAAGGCAGTGGTTTTCAAACTTTTTTTCTGGTGGACCAGTTGAAGAAAATAGTTGGTGCCCGTGACCCAACGGAGCTGGCGATGAGGGGTTTGGGGTGTGGGAGGGGCTCAGGGCTGGGGCAGAGGGTTGAGGTGCGGGGGTGAGGGCTGCGGGGTGGAGCCGGAAAGGAGGGGTTCAGGGTGTGGGAGGGGGCTCTGGGCTGGGACAGGGGGTTGGGGTGCGGGATGGGGTCAGGGCTCTGGGTAGGGGTGCAGGCTCTGGGGTGGGGCCTGGAGGGGGGGGTGGGGGGGGGGATCAGGGCTGGGGCAGGGGATTGGGGCACGGGGTTACCTCGGGCAGCTCCCACTCAGCGGCACAACAGGGGTGCTCAGGCAGGCTCCTAGGCAGAGGCACACAAGTGGCTCCACATGGCTCTCGCCTGCAAGCACCGCCCCTCCAGCTCCCATTGGCTGGTTCCCAGCCAATGGGAGTGCAGAGCCGGTGCTCGGAGCAGGGGCAGCACACGGAGCCCTGTGGCCTCCCCACCTAGGAGCCGGACCTGCTGCTGGCCGCTTCCGGGGCGCAGCGCGGTGTCAGAACAGGTAGGGACTAGGCTGTCTTAGCTGGGCAGTACGGCCCACGGGACTTTTAATGGCCCGGTCGGTGGTGCTGACCAGAGCCGCTGCGACCCACTGCCTTCCATTCGCGACCCAGTACTGGGTCACGACCCACAGTTTGAAAACCACTGATCTAAGATGCTACACTGGAATTTAAGTCTGTATCTAGAGTTTTGTGAAAAGTTTTGACTGAAACTTTTTGTGTGTGAAAACTGAAGATTTGCATCAGTTTCACCAACTTGTTTTGGGAAGGGAAAAAACCCCCCCCGCAAAAAATTCCAATAAACCCCAAATGTTTTGATTTTTTGATTCAAAATGACTTTTCAATTCTAAATTTTTTGTCCTTTTATTATTTTTTTTTAAGGAAAAAAATCTTAAATAATGCCCCAAATGTTTCATTTTGGGTCAAACAAAATATGTTGTTCGACCCGAAATGATTTTCTTTTCCGGCATTTTGATTCACTGAAAAGTTGGGGGGGAATTAATTTTCTGGTCACTGCAAAACGATTTTTTAAAATTTTTCGGAATTGGCATGGAAACGGGAAAAAAAGTCCATCCTTCCCGCAAATGTAGACAAGTAACACATTTTGCTTGATTTTAGACAAGCTGAGAAACAACATAGACTTTAACGCGATCGGTTTAATACATGCTAACATACAATTGATTTATCTTGACTGGGGTCTATCAATTCACGAAGGCCATGAAGGCACCGCTGGGATCATTTAGCCTTTTAGAAAAATACCCAACTGTGATTTAAACATGGCCAGCGATGGAGAATCCACCATGACCCTCGGGAAGTCGTTCCAATGGTTAATTCCTCTCACCTTATTTTCAGTCTGAATGGGTCAAGCTTCAACTTCCAGCCGTCGGATCCGGTTAGATCTTTGCCAGACGAGCCCGTTATCAAATCTGTGTTCCCCAAGTCGGTGCTTCAGCGTTTGAAGGTGCTAATTAGCTGGGACCTAAGATCCCACCCTTAAAACAGAATCAAACGGTCTCTGTAATGTTTTCCAGTGTCCGGAGCAGGGCCTGGGTGGGAAGGGACAGTTTAGGGGCGGGGCTTGGGAGGTATCGAGTGGAGCAGTGGGCGTGGTGAGGGGGGATTGGGAGGAGGGGCCTGTCAGGAGGTGGGGACTAAGAGGGAGAACAGTGGGCGTGTCAGTAGGGGGGGACTGGTAAAGAGGGGTCTATCGGGGCAGGATCTGGGAGGGAAGGGCTAGAGCAGGGGGCCTGTTGGAGCCAGGGCCTAGGAGGAGGATGTCAGGCGCGGGACCTGGGAGGGAGGGGGCATCATAGGGGGTGGTGTTTGGGAGGGTAGGGGATTCAGGGGGTGGGGCTTAGGCAGGAGGGCGCATTTCAGAGTATTTTAGGGGGCGAGGCCTGGGTAGGAGTGGCATGTCAAGGGTGGAGCCTGAGAGGAAGGGGCATCTGAGGGGGCGGGCCTGGGTAAGAGGGCGTGGCCAGTGCGCCAGCCGCAGCTCTGAAGCTGTTCTAACTTACACCAGGGTGTGCACACAGGCGCCCCCAAGCCAGGGCTGGAGACCAGTGGGCTCAGGGGGGGAGCTGAACCAGGCCCTGGTCCCCAGGGCCCTCCTCCATGCCGTGGGGCGGCCCGGCGGGGGCAGCGTGCAGCCGGCGGTGGGACACCAGGTGGGCGTTCTGGATGAAGCTCCGCTGGCACTGCCCGCATTTGAACGGCTTCTCCCCGGAGTGCACCAGCCGGTGCTGCACCAGGTGGGAGCTGCGGGCGAAGGCGCGGCCGCACTCGGGGCAGACGTGGGGCTTCTCCCCGGAGTGCACCTGCCGGTGCTGGTTGAGGGTGGAGCTCCAGCTGAAGGTCTTGCCGCACTCCCCGCACCGGTACGGCTTGGCGCCCGTGTGGATCCGCTGGTGCTGCTTGAGGGCCGTGGTCCAGCTGAAGGCCTTGCCGCAGTCCCCGCAGCAGTAGGGCCGCTCGCCAGTGTGGGTGCGCTGGTGCTTGAAGAGGGTGGAGGTGTGGTTGAAGCCCCGGCCGCACTCCTTGCACTGGTAGGGCCGCTCCCCGGTGTGGACGCGCTGGTGGTTGGCCAGGTGGGAGCTCTCCCCGAAGCTCTTCCCGCACGCCTCGCACATGTAGGGCCGCTCGCCGGTGTGGGTGCGCTGGTGTTTCTTCAGGGTGGAGCTGAGGCTGAAGGCCTTGCCGCATTGGTGGCAGCGGTAGGGCCGTTCACCGGTGTGGACGCGCCGGTGCTGGGCCAGGGTGGAGCTCTCGGTAAAGCGCTTCCCGCACTGGGGGCAGGGGTAGGGGCGCTCACCCGTGTGGGTGCGGTGGTGCTGGGTCAGGGCCGAGCTCTGGGTGAAGCTTTTCCCGCACTGGGTGCACTTGTAGGGCCGCTCGCCCGTGTGCGTGCGAAGGTGCTTCACCAGGTCCGAGTTCTGCAGGAAGCCCTTCCCGCACTCGCCGCAGATGGTGGGCCGCTCCCCGCGTCGGGGGGCCTCGGGCAGCCCCAGCCGGCCCCCAGCTCCTGCCCCTGGACGGGCCCTTCTGGGCCGCGGGGTGGAGGACGGCCTGTGTGGATCCCCTCTCAAGGGATGCTGGGATATGTCCTGTTTGGATCGCCCTGAAAACGGCCCATGCAGATCCGCTCCTAAAGGATTCTGGGATACGTCCTCTTGGGATCTCCGTGGGAACACCCTGCACTGATCTGCTCCCGAAGGATTCTGGGATATGTCCTCTTGGGATGTCCAGGGGAATGTCCCGCGCAGATCCACTCTCTGCCGGGGATTCTCACTCGCTGTCCCGGCACCTGCTAGGGGGGAGAAAGAGACTCAAGCCGGGGCTCTTTCCCTGCACCGCGGACAGCGGGGGCAGCAAAGGGGTTGGTGACGGAGTAGAAAACCCAATGGGCAGGAACCAAGCTCCTGAACTTCCCCCGGAGGGGAGCAGAAGGGCTGGTTCTGCCCCAATGACCCAGCTGAGCCCTCAACGGCTGTGGGAGGGAAGGGCTCCTGCCGTGAGGCCAGGGCACCCGCTGGGGGCGATACTCAGCGAGACAGGGCAAACCTTCCCCTTCACTCCCCGAGCTCCTCACCTGGGATCTCCCTCCCCTCAGAGCACTGGAGATCCAGGACGCACGGCGCCTCCCCTCGCTCCATCCGGGCGATCACGGCCGGTTTCGGGACCGGGAACCCTGCCAGCGGGGGGATAAGGTCAAGTGAGACTCCAGACCAGACCAGAGGGACTAGGAAAACAGAGATCGGAATTCAGCTCCCGGAGGGGCCTGAGTTGCCTCTGCTGGGGGATGTGTTAATGGAAAGAGATCGGCCAAGGGTATTAGAGAGAGAGAGAGAGAGAGAGGGGTGTATGGGGGATAGATAGATAGATAGATAGGGGTGTCTGGGGATAGATAGAAATGGGTGTAGACAGATAGATCATTCCATTGGTGAAATACTTATCACAGGGTAAAACAATAGAGTGATAGGGCTTGTCTGGAAGCCAGGACTCCTGGGTTCTATCCCCAGCTCTAGGAGGGGAGTGGGGTCTAGTGGTTAGACCAGTGGGAGGCTGGGAGCTCCTGGGTTCTATCCCCAGCTCTGGGAGGGGAGTGGGGTCTAGTGGTAGAGCCAGGGACGGTCTTTCCCAGCTCCTTTCCCCGAGGGGAAGCGGCCCCTCACCCAGGAAGCTGATGTTGGTGTAGTTCTCCAGCATGACATCCCTGTAGAGCCGCCTCTGCCCTTCATCCAGAAGACGCCACTCCTCCTCGGTGAAATACACGGCCACCTCTTCGAATGTTACTGGCGCCTGCAACCACAAGGGACCCCACTGGGCACCGCGGCACTGAGGGGTGGAGCTGGCTACTGCCCAAGTGCATTCTGGGACTATCTGGGCTGACACCTTCATGCCGCCCAGAGTTGTGTGCACCAGTGCATTGTGGGAATATCCCAGCAGGGGCCTCCACGTGCCCCAGTGCATTGTGGGACTATCCCAGAAGCCTCACTTCCTAGCAACACTTACATCCATCTAGTATCTTGCCCCTCCCTGTCGCCCCAGATCAGATGCAGGGGCCCATCTAGCCCGGTATCCCGTCTGCTCACTCCTGCCCCAGATCAGACCCACAGCAGACGTCCACTGGGGTCACTGAGACCAGAATCTAGGCCAGTCTCATCTTCCCAGGAACCCAGCCAGCCCCACGACCCACCTGGACGCCAGGCTCCCAGGGCGGGTCAGTCCTGCCCCGCTGCCGCTCATGCCTCTCCGAGCTAGGCAGAGACCCCTGGGGGCGTGTGAGATCTGAGGGAGAAGAGTGAGTCGTTTAGCAGACCCCGAGGGAACCAACCCTCCCTTTCAGCCCTGGGCTCCCCCCTAGAGCCCCTCCGCCTCAAGGAGAGCACCCCCTGCTGGGGAGACCCCCCCCAAACTCTGAGCTCTACCTTGTAGCATGTGGGGTTCCTGGTCCTCCTCTTGGGGTGCAGGATTGGGGTGCCACCCCCGCGCCTCCCACAGTCCTCTGGGGGAGTCCATCTTCACTGCTCTCTGTCCCACCAACTGTCACCTGCAAACCACCCAAAATATGGGGCTGGGTTGGTGGGGGGAACCCTGCCCCCTCTCACTGTGCATCCCCAGAGCTGGCGGAACTGGGGGGACCCTGAACAGAACCCCCTCCATGCACCCCCAGGGCTATCTGGGTTGGGGGGACCCGGCACACACCTCTCCCCCCATGCACCTTGAGAGCTGGTGGAACTGGGGGGACCCGGCACACACCCCTCCCCACATGCACCTCCAGAGCTATCTGGGTTGGGGGGGACCCTGCACACACCCCTCACCCCAATGCACCCCCAGAGCTGGCTGGGTTGGGGGGACCCTGCACACTCCCCTTCCCCCATGCACCCCCAGAACTGGCTGGGTTGGGGGGACCCTGCACACACCCCTCCCCCAATGCACCCCCAGAGCTGGTGGCATTGGGGTAACCCTGCACAGACCCCCTCTTCTTATGCATCCCCCAGAGCTATCTGGGTTGGGGGGTCCCTGCACAGACCCCCCTCTTCTCATGCAGCTCCAGAACTGGCTAGGTTGGGGGGACCTTGCACACCCCCCTCACCCCAATGCACCCCCAGAGCTGGTGGCACTCGGGCGACCCTGCACAGACCCCCCTCTTCTCATGCACCCCCAGAACTGGCTGGGTTGGGGGGACCCTACACACATCCCTCATCCCCATGCACCCCCAGAGCTGGTGGCATTGGGGCAACCCTGCTGGGCTCAGCTCCCTCCCCAGATGTCCTGGACTCAGCAGCGCCAGGGATTGGGGGGTTTGTTCCTCCCTGGTGGGGCCCCGATTCAGGGGGGCAGAGCTCAGGGGGGACTGGGGAACGCGGGCTCCTTTCCGACCCCCCTCCCCATCCCACCTCCCTCTGCTTCATCAGCACCATGCAATTGCCGAGCCAATCAATGCACGCACCCCCCAGCTCTGCAGGCTGGAGAGACACCCTGTCTGCACCCACACACCTACCTGCTTGCCGGGGGCTAGGGGATCGCCCCCCCCCCTCCCCGGCTGCTTGGATTGGGGGGGAGGGGAAGGAAGCGGAAGGTCCCTTTCTTATTTCATTCCCCCCAGGGTAGACCCGCTTGGTCCTGTCTAGGCTTCCACTGATCGGTCGTATTAACCCTTCACTCAGCCGTGGAGAGAAGGAGCGCTGCCCCTTGCAGTCAGGGCTGGCCCCAGTGCGGCGCTAGGGGGCGCTGTGCTGCAGGGAGCAGGGCTCAGTAGGGGGCGCTCTCCCTTGGCAGTCAGGGCTGGCCCCAATGCGGCGCTAGGGGGCGCTGTGCTGCAGGGAGCAGGGCTCAGTAGGAGGCGCTCTCCCCTGGCAGTCAGGGCTGGCCCCAGTGTGGCGCTAGGGGGCGCTGTGCTTCAGGGAGTGGGGGATCAGCAGGGGGCGCTCTCCCCGGGCAGGCAGTGCTGGCCCCATTGCCCCTGTGCGGCGCTAGAGGGCGCTGTGCTGCAGGGAGCAGGGCAGGGGCTCAGTAGGGGGCGCTCTCCCCTGGCAGTCAGGGCTGGCCCCAGTGTGGCGCTAGGGGGCGCTGTGGGGTAGGGCTCAGTGTGGGGCGCTCTCCCTTTCCAGTGCAGGCTGACCCCGGTGCTGCAAATGAGTAGACTTTTACTTCTCGAATGAAGGACTTGTTTGAAGCACATGCTACGAGATCTGACCACCACTTATCCCTGCCTTCGGTTTTAACTCCAGGAATACCCTCCTCGACTTGAGTTTCAGCGCTGATTGAATTATTATTCTTGGTCAGCGCGCCAGGAAGGCCAGTTTCCGATCCGGAGTTAATCTTGGGGTAGATTCGGCTCGTTCCGGGTTTACACCAGAGTCACCGAGCTCAGAGTCTGGCCCTGAAAATGGAGTCGCTCCGGATTGGATCAGAATGAGGTTTTTCTGTTGCTTTTGAAAGCCACACGCTGCCGGGAAGAATTAGCAGAGTCAGCGGATATAGCAAAGTGGTGAAATACTTTTGTCACATCAGCACTCTGCTCGGGAGGGACACTTCAGGTCAGGGTTATAGCTATCTTCGCACGATTTTGATCCAGGAACAGATCCTGAGCCGCATGCAACCATTTAATCGGGAATCTTCCATTGTTCCCGTTCCCGCCCCCCCATAATGCCTCGAGCTTCTGGAGTCACGTGAAAACATCCTTTTTGCCTTTAAAAGCACCAAATAATTATTGTTTAGTCCATGTTGTTGGAGAAAAGCCTGAAGACACCACCCCCATCGGCGCTCAACCAAGAAGGCAACTAACAAGTACGGGAGATATTATTTCATTTATGAAATCTCATGATTTGCCACACTGAGCTGGCGATTTTTGGTGGCTTCGGTCTTGATTTCTGAGCGCTTGGGGCTGGTAACGCCACAGAAATTGCGTTGTAATTTTACTGCCTGGCTAGTCCTGCCGTAGTGAATGAGGGTGGCAGAATTTTGTCTTGGTGCCAACGCCAGGCGGAGGTGGAATCTAGTGGGTTAGAGCAGGGGGCTGAGCAGGGGCTGAGATCCAGGATTCCTGGGTTCTGTTCTCAGCTCTGGGAGGGGAGTAGGGCCAAGGGGGGAGGGAGGGGCTGGGAGTGAATGCTCTTTGAGATGAATGGGGGCTGGGGCAGGGGAACTGGACTACAATTCCCATAAGGCCCTTTCCTCCTACAACCCAGCTTTAACTCAATGGCAAATACTACAACTGCTATGAGGTCTTGCGTGGAATTTTCCCCTCCCCACCCCTGAGCCTCCATGATGGTTGTAGTCCAGTTTTCTCCTCTTTGCTTTCCAGATATCATAGGGGAAGGGGAAAGACTACAAATCCCATGAGGCCGTGCGCGGACAGCTCCGCCATGTTAGTTGTAGTCCAGGAGGGTGTGAGGACCACATGTCCCATGAGGCCTTGCCAGGCATGAGCCTGGCTGCACTGCAATGACAGTTGTAATTTAAACATCTCCCACTTCCCTGAAAGAACAAAAGGGCTCCTTTTGGGGGGAGGGGTGTCAAAAACTACATTTCCCATGAGGCATTGCGCATCCTCCCCCTCACGCCTCCATGGCACTTGTAGTCCAAACACGTCCCCTTTCACTTAGAAATGAATGGGACTTGGGTGGCTGAGGAACTACATTTCCCATGAGTCGTTGTTTTGTGCCGCCATGACACTTGTAGTCCAAACATGCCCTCCATAAATGGGCTCAGTGGGGTGGGGAACTATATCTCTCATGAGGCAGCGCGAGGGCCCACCGCCCACCTCACCCCCTGTGCTTCCATGACACTTTTGGTCCAAACACTCTTTTCCCTCATAGGAAAACACCAGGGCGCGGAGGTAGTCAAATAAACTACATCTCCCATGAGGCAGCGCGAGAGCCCAGCCTCCCTGCGCCGCCATGACACTTGTAGTCCAAACATTCTCCCCTTCCCCATAGACATGAACGCGCCTCGGAGGAGAGGGTGAGGAACTACATCTCCCATGAGGCGTTGCGCGGGCCCGGCTTCCCTGCGCCGCCATGACCCTAGTAGTCCAAACACGCCAGTTCTCCCATTCGGAACGAACGCGGCCTGGTGGCCGGGGAACTACGTCTCCCATGAGGCAGCGCGCGGGCCTGGGCTGGCTCCGGGCCGCCATGATGGGTTTTGTGTGTTTGCGGGGTTGAGAGGGGGAGGGGAGGGGGATGAGCCAGGCTGCAGGAGGGGGCAGCAGCAGCCGAAGCAGCAGAAGAGCAGCAGCCTTGGGGCCCAGCCCCCCCTCCCAGGAGCTGCACCCCTCCCCCGCTCTGCATTTTTAGGGGGGGCTGGGACAGCCCCTCCCCCCCGCACGAGCCAGCCCGAGTGGGGGGAGGGGGAAACGAGGAAGGCAGCTTAGGCCCCGCCCCCATATGTGTGTGGGGGGCTTGGGGCAGCGCAGGACCCCCCCAGGCTAGATCCTTAAATTGGGGGGGGGCAGAGAGGGGGCTGAGCTCCCCCTCTTCAGTTGGGGGGAGCCCACAGACTCCCCCGAGGGGGGCAGGCAGGATAGGAAGGGGCAAAGGCCCCCCTAAAAAGGGAGGCGAACCCCCTTATTGGTGGTGGCTTTAGCAGCTTGAGGAGCGGGGGCGGGTCTGAGCCCTGTTGGGGGGGGCTGCTCCCTAAGCG